TACACCTATAGACCAGCTATATAAGGCCATAATCATATAATAAAAGGTGTGAAGGAATATCCCTTCGTTTTCTCTCTCTGAGTCCATCCTCTTCCTACCTTCCCTTCTCTTCTTTCCCTTCATCTTCTGTTTCAGGAGGTTAAGCCACCCTCGAAGGGGCTTCCGAGGTGAGCGGTAACTCATCACAAACCCAGATGAAAACATAAACCATCCACTAACTCTAGACATGTGATGTTACATGTTTGTCAATATTCAATATGATTCCTCAGTACACCAATGTTTTTCTTCCAGAAGAAGGACAAAGCTTAACATCCACCTCGAGGGAAATATACATCCAACCATCCTTGTGGGTAGCTAGTTGCCTAGCTACCACTCGTGGACATTCCACAAATGGCTTGGGGGCAGACCTTGGGAGTTGGGACATCTAGAGGGATTTCTAAGGATTCCTTAAAGAACTGGGAGGAGCCTATGTATGTGGTTAACCGCTGACATGCTCTATGCAACAGTGGCATCTCATAGGCAATAGATAGAAAAAGCTATCCTGGAGCCATGTTATGCATGTTGGCTTATCTTGGAAATCTGTAAAATTCATGGCATGGATATGGATATAGGCTTACACTCTGGCATCATTAGCACTATAAAATAAGCTGGACCAATGGACCTAGACCATAAAACGTCATTTATCAAGTATTGATAATCTCCATATATCTAGAAACTGACAAAAAAATATATCGGAATCCATGAATGAACATACACACATACACCGCAACCTAGACAGGCTAGACTATGTGGTAAATATGTTTAGGGCCTTAGGGGACCATAGGTCATAAATCAGAAATAAGTTCATAAAGAAATTAATTACCAAAAAAATGCTGATTGAACTAGACAAAAATTTCTTTTATTCTTTTTCTTTATATTTTTAACAAAGTTTTTATTCTTTTTCTTTATATTACAAAGTTTTATTAAGAGAAATAGAGATAAGGTTATAAAAGGGAAAAAAAAGTTATATATGGCACTGAACAGAATGAAATGGCAAAACAGGATTCATGTAGCCAATCTCATGTAGTTGGGACAAGGTTTAGATGATGATGATTAGCCATGTCATCAGCTAAACTTATCACATAATACCAAGGTCCAAAATTCCAGGTGTATCGTATTGTATCTTTTGGTGGTCGATACGTTAAATAAAGGGTGTATTTAGGTTTTGATGTTTTAAATGGCTAAACATAAAATATAAAACTTTGATTAATCAAAACTCTTGATACGCAAAATTTTGTGTATCATCGATATTTTGAACTTGCATAATACAAACCATCAAATTGTCTGAGCTGAAAACTAAGAAAGTTAAAGGGGCCATTTGATAACAGGCTTAACAGCTGCTGTTGCTGAACTGAACGACTTATTGCTTTCTCTTTTAGTGGAGAAAATAATTAAACAATAAAGACTCAAGGTATAGTAACCTACCAAGCTTCAGGTTCATCCATTAAGGAGCACACAACCTTCTTAAAAACGTATTCATCAAAAGACAAGACAAAAAGCTTTTCAGTTCAGCCACTTCAGTTGATAAATTTATAAGCACATAAAACATAACTTATACTAGAAGTGTATCATACATACTTAATAGGTGGCTTTTTAGTGAGAAACAAAAAAGGAAACTTTTATTGGAACGAATAACATATAAAGATTGCATAAAGAGCTAATTCCAGGAATTAAAAAAAAAATGTCTCTACTAGTCAAAACAACAGAATGTTTAAGAAATGTCTGGGTCTATATACCTTTTTAATAGATATTCCAAAATTATGCACAACCTGGATTTGGTAATTTGGAATAAGAATATCAGAGAATGGCCTTAGTCCAAAATTACCAAACCCAGCCTCTTCCAAACCATTTTTACTGCAAGGTGGGGATTAAACAGTTCCACCATCCAGCTGGACCAGGTCTTGCAACATTTCCATTAACAAAGGAATGGAACACTTTAGGTTGGGATTTATGGTTTCTCATTAGCACTTATTTGCGTACCCCTCCCCCCAACTATAATCTATAGAAATATTTCAAATTTGCATATTTTGTCTAGGTTAATTAGCCCTTAAAACAAATCGAACAATATTAACATAAAATAAGTTGATGAGATAGTGAAGTTCTATTTGATGGTGGGCAGTGCATAACGCATAGAATTTCTACAGCAATAATTAACTCAACTAGACAATTAAAATGAAAGCACTATCTGATCAAAGACTCTTCCTACCCATTTTTGGAATGTATTTGACCCTTCAGAAATCACAAAAAAAAGTGGACTGGATGGTTGCAGTTATCACTAAAGGGTTGATTTTTACCAAGAAATCATCCTATGGTTCACCCATTGTACGCAATATTCAGATTCCAGAATGTGCTTGTTTCCACTTATGTCATTGATAGACGGGAGCTACGGTTTACAAAATTCAAAGCCCTAAAGTCTTCTCCAGAATTAAAATTGGTTCAAGTGAAATTCCAGAAGCTCATAAAGATAAGATGAAACAACCGTCGCTATGATTGAATATGCAATAAAAGTATGTTGACTTCGCATCAGATGGAATCGGGTCAACGGTTGAGCATAGGTCACACGAAGAAGAGCTTTGGAAAGTGACAATTAGAGGAGAAGGAAATGTCTAAAAGTATACCTTTGATGTTGCTGCTGGAACCACGAGCAGGACACCTTTCATCTTTGCCCCAACCAAGTTCTTTCGTCCATGTATTCTGAATTATGACCGGGTCCTCTGTCATTTTATCCCCTGGCAAACTTACATTGTAGTGCAACACAATAGGAGGCTTAGACTCCCCCGGGAGTAGTGAGCCTATAAGTTCAATTTGGAAGCTTCCATGGCGTCCATCAGGAATGCCAACCAATGTGATGGAAGAACTATCGGCAAGCCCGCAAGGAAACTCAAGGATGGTTCCATAAATAGACATTGTACTGTTCAACATACCAACAGAGAAAGGGCAATTCTTATCCTTCTCATCATTTCCCTGGATGTTACTGTTTCTAATCCTAGATGCCTTCTCATCTTCAATAGCAGCCAACAAATCTTTCCACGCAACAGACGCTTCTTTAATCCCTTGAGCTGTTTCAGACAAAGAGTCTGACCTAGACAATAGGGAACGCATTTGAGCCCAAACAAGTACGACTTTGGAGTCTTCTTCTGAAATGTTTTTCAGAGAATACAGATCATTGAGTCCATCGACATTGATAAGATAGGGCTTTCTCGCACGATTGCGTTCCTGTGGCAGTTGAGAAGTCCTAGTTACACCATTATGCCCTAAACGAGAATTATTGCTTGGATGATTCCAGAAGAAATCATATGCTGATTGCTTCTTTGGCTGGTCTTGCATAAGGCTGTACCGGAGAATTAAAATCATAGCAAGAGAAATAATCAGAGTGCCTCCGGTCCACTTCTTCATCCCGAAATTGTCACTGCATCACTTAATAACTGACTGCAAGAAACATAAAGGTGAAAAGGCAATACAAAACTAATGATCTCTACTCTCTAGGTTTTCCTCAGTCCTCACCAAGCAATGTAACCACTTGAGTACTACAAGCCCTCTTCTTCTTCTAGTTCGAATTCAAGTAATGGCGGATCTCTGCAACTGTTGTAGATCTCAGAGCCTCGAAGAACCGCCATATCCCGCATTTTCCTCTCCGCCACTCCTGGCGTATAATTCGTAAGTCGCAAGCCGCTAAACAGTAGCAGTTCCACTTCTCTCTGTTTTCTTCGCTAAGGTGCCCCGCGCGTTCGACACGCTAGTTTCTTTGTCGGAAGGAAGCGTGAAGCCCTTCGCAGTTCACACACCAAGTGCGGGGCAGAATTTGCCGCTGTGCTGACTATAACAGGGGTGTTCATTATGGAAAGGGATATGCTCCTCACACGGGGGCGCCTCACATGAATATCCATCGTGAATTGGTACGCCTCACATGAACATTCGCGGAAGATGTTCCCAATGCATGGTACGCTGTGCGTGTGAGGCGCGACTGAGGCGCCCTTTGTGAGGAGCAGATCCGGTTTCGTTCATTATACGACTCAAGCCGCAAAGCCGCGGTTTGATTCGATTCATACCCATAAACGGTTTAGTTCGATTTGAGAATTTTCTAAGTTGCAGTTTATTAAATTTTATAAATCGAAATATATATGAATATATGATATGTAAATATTATATATAATATATTTAAATGTAATGTATAAAATTATAAATATTTAATAAATTCTTTATTTTATAATGAAATAATAAATAAAAAATTTAAGTTTTAATTTTTAGGGGAGCTATTTGGGCTTTCTAATTGGGTTAAACACAAAAGAATCATAGAATGATCTAAAGTCCCTAAACCGTATTAAAAACCATACCAATGCTATCAAACTGTAATAAAACGGTTTGGTTTGTTTTGGTTTTCATACCAAAACGGTTTAGTTCAGTTTAGAAATTTCTCAAACCGTAATTTATCGATTTGATCTAAAATCTTCTCCAAACCACACTGAACCAGACCATGAACACCACTTAGTACTTTCAAGATTTTTTTTTTTTAAATCACTAGATTTGCTAGAAACAAAGTGTGGAAATCAAGCTAGTAAAGTAAAGGTCGGTTTAACCGGACACGTGTGGGGTGCCTAACACCTTCCCACACCGTACCTTAGTCCCCGTACCCTAAGAATCTAATCCCCTTTGGGAAACAAGTCATCGAGAAAAAATGTGTTCTTGAAAAATCCCAAGTTTTCCTAAATTCCCATTTCCCAAAAATTTAGGTGGCGACTCCAAACTCCATATTCAATCCATCCCCCATCCAGGTTGGGTAGCCACAAGACTTATCCTACCAAGATCTAATGAAATGAAGTTGGAATATGCCCTCAGATTTGGGTTCCAAGCATCCAATAATGAAGCTAAGTATGAGACCCTTATCGCTAGTCTATCCCTCGCAAATAAGACTGGCGCAAAGAACATAAAGGCATGTAATGATTCTCATCTAGTAGTTAACCAAGTTAATGGGCACTACAAAGCTTGGGAACCGGTTATGATCAAGTATCTAGCAATGGTATGTGAGTTCATCAAGCAATTCAACTCGTTCTCCACCCACCAAATACCGAGGTCCAAGAATGCCTAGACCGATGCACTTTCAAAGCTAGCCGACTCTATGGGCAACACAAGAGGACAATCTATGTAGAAGACCTATCACGCCCTAGCATAAAGAAGACGGTAGAAGAGGATGTCACTCCCATATAGGTTGTAGAACCGAGCTGGATGGACCAGCTCTTTAAGTATCTGTGCCACGAGGATTACCCTCAGATTAAAATGCAACTTAGAAGATCGAATGCAAGTCAACTCTCTATGTCATAATTGGTAAACAATTGTACAAGAAGTTGTTTACCCTTTCATATTTGCATTATCTCCAACCTAGTGAAGCTAAGTACGTGCTTAAGGAGATCCATGAAGGACTCTGCGACGAATACTTAGGGTGCAAGGCACTTGCTCGGAAGGCCCTTCAACAAGGCTACTACTAGTTGACAATGAAAACTAATGCAATCTAGTTTGTATGGCGATGTGATTAATGCCAATGCCACGCCAACAAACCCTGGCATCTTGCCATCGACCAACAGTACCTCACTAGCCCGTGGCCTTTTGCTTAGTGAGGAATAGATATCTTCGGTCACTTTCCACCAGCAACTAGGCAGAGGAGGTTCTTGGTTGTGGATGTGGACTACTTCACTAGGTAGGTTGAGGTTGAGCCACTAGTGACCATCACAACTCGGAATGTGCAAAACTTCTTTTGGAAGTGTATCATCAATCGAAATGGATTGCCTTGCGCGTTGATCTCAGACAATGGAAAGCAATTCGAGGACATTAAGTTCCAAGACTGGTGTGCTGAATTGGGAATTAAACAACACTTCATGTCGATCGCTCATCCCCAAGCAAATGGTCAAGCCGAGGTGACGAACAAGGCCATCTTGTGGGGTCTGAAAGATTGGCTCACCCAAGTTAGGGGTTATGGGTCGACGAGCTCCCTAATATTCTCTGGGCATATCGAACGAAGAGCATAACGGAAATCGATGATATGTCATTCAACCTAATGTTTAGAATTGAAGTTGTCTTCCTAACTGAGATCGAGGCAATGGTTGTACAGTCAGAAACCTACGATGAGGAAGAAAATGACTACAAGTTGCGCACTAAGATAGACCTTGTGGAGGAGGTATGCAACTTGGCGCAGATCTAAACTACTTCCTACCAGCAAAAAGTAGCTCAATACCACAATGCCATAGTCAAAACGCGTTGCTTCCGTGTTAGACAGTGTATGCCCTTAGCTCCAATCAGAATGATGTACATTATGACATTTAATGTAAATGAATAAAGTACATATTCGATTCATGTTATTATGGTGTGTTTCTGTGTAATACCCTTAAATTGGACACTTATGAGACTCGTGTTAGTTAAAATCTTCACAACCGTTGGATAGATCTGGGGAGATTTATCCTACCAAGGATGACACTGATGTGCCGCCAAGTTGGTTGGGGTGGCTTGTCTCAACTGCTAGGGCCTGAGGTACATGCAGTGTGGGTTTTCTTGAAACCTTGAATCGGACCAAAATTCTAGTATTGCCCGGGACGTTGAAGATAGATGGTCAAAACTGAAATGTTACACCTGAACCCTAGACTCGATTATGATACTGCACTAGGTGTCGGATTGGGCTATCTTTGATATGCCAATCAGTGAGATCCTTAAAGGGGGTCAAAACCTGGGTATGTTGGGACAGTCCGAGAATTCATTTGAGTGGGTGATCATAGTGATAGGATCAGCCCCTTTGTCGAACAAAGTGAATGATCAGGGATGCACTCTCTCTGATGGAAACCAAAGTTGCCAATGGTAGGGTTGACACCTTCAAAGCTCATCTGGTGGCGAAAGGGTACACTTAGAAAAAGGACATCGACTATGAGGAAACCTTTTCGCCTGTGGCCATGCTTAAATCCATTAGGATCCTACTAGCTGTAGCAGCATACCATGATTATGAGATTTGGCAGATGGATGTCAAAACTGCATTCTTGAATGGAGATCTTACTGAAGATATCTATATGCAACACCTGCAAGGCTTCATTGTTGTAGGTCAGGAAAACATGGTATGTAAACTTAATAGATCCATTTATGGACTTAAGCAAGCTTCTAGAAGTTGGAACATCCGTTTTGACTCTACTGTCAAATCGTTTGACTTCAAACAAAATCCGGATGAACCCTGTGTTTACAGGAAGTATAGTGGAGATAAGGTTACCTTCTTGGTTCTGTATATAGATGACATTCTACTCATAGAGAATGGTGTAGGAATGTTAACTACGGTGAAAGTATGCCTTTCACAGCAATTCTCCAAGAAAGATCTTGGAGAAGCCTCCTATATACTGGGTCTTCRACTCTATAGAGATAGATCGAAGCAGATAATAGGATTACCCAATCTGCTTACATTGACAAAATAGTCAAAATATACAACATGAAA